CCTAATGTACATGATGTATGTAGTGAAAGAAGGGGTATGATGTATAGCTCTGTGTTATAATGGTGTGTATGTTACGTATGTGCATGGATGAGTTTTTTGTGTATTTTTAAATTATTTATAATTCTTTAACTTCACTTAATTACTGCCACAAGGTGGTATTAAGCCTCCTGGTGACAGTATTAGACCCTCTTTATGGAGACATCAGGGGTCTAAATGTCTCCACTTTCTGCTGGAGAGAAAAACTGACAACACAAAGTCCTCAATCTTCTCCACTGCTTACCAGCACATGATCGGATTAAGAGACATCATTTAAGGTAAGTCCCTACAGCAGGATTGGGAAGTGGGGGGGAAAAAATTTGACCTTAAAGGAGAACTATGGGGTTAGGGCTTTTCCCCATAGTTCTCCTAAGGGTAACGGGAGGACACAAACTAGCATCCTCCCGTCACCCAAAGCTCAGTATACCGCAAGCTACAACTCGCGGTATACTGAGACGCCGCAGCCGGAAAGGATCCCGGCAATGCTGTCTGGATCCACCAAGCTGCGTGAGTGACAGCTGGCTCTGCCTATCTAGAGGCAGAGCCAGATGTACCCTCCCCCGTCCGCTCCGCCAGTAAGCGCTGAAGGATCGGACAGGGGAGGGGGGGAATCCCTGTAGGGAGCCGTGAGTGACAGTCACGGCTCTCTGCACGGATAGATAGAGAAGTGAGCGAGCGACAGTATGTGTTCGCTCACTTCCCGATGTACTGAGCCGACCTGTGACAGCTTCATTGTCACAGGTCGGCTCAGATTATGAGGCAGAGTGAAAATCACTCGCCTCATAATTCTCCTTTAATGTCACTTTAAGTGAAATCAACAAAAGTCAATTTATTAATGGAGTACTGTCATTCAAGTACAAGCGCTTTCGGGGCCGAGCCTGATGAAAGAGACCCTGTGCGGCCCCGAAAGCGCTTGTACTGGAATGACAGTACTCCATTATTAAGTTGACTGATTTCACTTAAATGGTGTGGTGGTGACATCCTTATACAAAGTTTTGCTATAGGCTCATGGTGAGTAAGGGTCCCTTCACACCACTGCACTATGGTGTGTCACCGCACACACATTAACATGCAGTATGTTGTTGAATAGGCTACCAATGCACCACAATGTACAACACTCCTAAAACCAGACAAGAGCCTTTAGGAAACAGACCACACCACAATGCAAAAATAGTTTCCATCGGTCTGTTTGGTGCACTAAAATTCACGTGTTGGGATGTTTGGCAAGGTGCGTTGGTAGTGTAATATATACCCGCAAAGTCTACTGGCCCCATGTGCGGCAGACAATTTCCCTAGGCCATAACTAAAGTGTGGCCAGGTTGTAGACATTCAAATATTCACAGGTCCTTAACAAGTAGTAAATGAGTATGAGTATGAAAACAAGCCATCACTGACTTCTGTAGCTGAACACACTGTAGAGCAGGGGCGCCCACTATTTTTCGTCTGGAGATCTACTTTTCAAGTGACGAGCTCATTGAGATCTACCAACGAAAAAACACCTGCATTCAGGGGCGGGAGGGGGCGTAGGCTGCGCAGGCAGTCCCCTCGCCCAGTGTGATCGCCTGCATTAGTGCCTGTGTTCCAGTCCGATCTGCAAAAATGCTGCGAGCACTATTTTTGCAGATCGCACTGGACCGGAATGCAGGCACTAATGTGCCTGCGTTCCGAGTGCGGGCGATCGCACTGTGGGCGATGCCATTGACTTCAATACAGCTCCACACCCCCTCCAGAGAGTAATTCTCACTAAAATCCTAGCTTATGCTAGCACGGCGGCTCACCCTGCAACCCAACCCAAACCCGTCCCCTCCCCTTATGACTTGGAGGCAGCCCAGCCTTCTACTCACTAATGTAAACAGAGAGTAGATGCTCTATGAGCTAAGCTGATGTGAACACCGACTAACTTCTGTGTTTGTGCTGTGAACTTTTAGAATACACTGAACCAGAGTGCCTGAAGCTACTGGGGTCAGCGGAGGCTTGTTTTAAAGTAAACCGGTCCCCAGATTATGCACATATTTACATAATCTAAACATTTTAAAACATGCCCTCCTTCTAAAAAACACTTTAAAACATGCCCGCATTCACCTCTGTAGTTACAGACATTGCGGAAATATTTATCTTCAAAGTTACAGAAGCATTACAATCTTTGTTTTTTCCCTATTACTTTCTATTGCATCAGAATCTTGGCAGGCAGGCAACCCACTACTGAAATCCCAGGATACAGCTAACTTCAGAACACTCATTGTCTCCTCATCTCCATAACACAAGGAAGATATCCCTATGGAGAAGGGAGAGAGAGCACTCAGAAGACATCACAAAAGGTCAGGCACTCCCAGGGTAAAACAACTGGCCTGGAAAACCACAATCCAGTCGATTTGTACCTCCTCTAAGGAACCAAGACAGGGAAAGTCTGTCATGGTCAGTTAGGGCCAACAGAAATAACATTTTTCCCCAATCCAATATTGTTCAACCAGAGTGGGCAAACATTCTCTGATGGCAGCTTTTGATATTTAGGGCTCATACACATAGAGCATGGTGGGATCACCTGGAAAAATAAGAAAAATCCTGGAAAAAAGATCATATCTAAGGACTGATAAACTGCAAAATATTATTTTTGTTTTGTTCCTGGGTTTAGATTTAGATGTTACATTTACCTCTTTCTTGGTAATATACCTGAGGTTTCAACCAAATTCCCTTTATCTGGTGGTTGCTGGGAAATTTCCAGTGGATAAGAGGATGCTCTGTTGGGCCATTGACCAATAGTTAGATACATTTGTCATAACGGTAGCATAATCCTAGACGAAGAACCTACACTAGTCACAGCTACACTATATTGCCAAACGTATTGGGGCGCCTGCTTTACACGCGCATAAACTTTAATGGCATCCCAGTCTTAGTCTGTAGGGTTCAATATTGAGTTGGCCCACCCTTTGCAGCTATAATAGCTTCCACTCTTCTGGGAAGGCGTCCACAAGGTTTAGGAGTGTGTCTATGAGAATGTTTGACCATTCTTCCAGAAGCGCATTTGTGAGGTCAGGTACTGATGTTGGACGAGAAGGCCTGGCTCGCAGTCTCCCCTCTAATTCATCCCAAAGGTGTTCTATCGGGTTGAGGTCAGGACTCTGTGCAGGCCAAACAAGTTCCTCCACCCCAAACTCGCTAATCCATGTCTTTATGGACCTTGCTTTGTGCACTGGTGCGCAGTCATGTTGGAACAGGAAGGGGCCATCCCCAAACTGTTCCCACAAAGTCGGGAGCATGAAATTGTCTAAAATGTCTTGGTATGCTGATGCCTTAAGAGTTCCCTTCACTGGAACTAAGGGGCCGAGCCCAACCCCTGAAAGACAACCCTACACCCTAACCCTCCCTCCACCAAACTTTACACTTGGCACAATGCAGTCAGGTAAGTACCGTTCTCCTGGCAACCGCTAAACCTAGACATGTCCATCAGATTGCCAGACAGAGAAGTGTGATTCATCACTCCAGAGAGCAAGTCTCCACTTCTCTAGAGTCCAGTGGTGGTGGTGTGCTTTACACCACTGCATCTGACGCTTTGTGATGTAAGGCTTGGATGCAACTGCTCGGCCATGGAAACCCATTCCATGAAGCTCTCTACGCACTGCTGTTATACCAATCTGAAGTTTGGAGGTCTGTCGCTTTTGACTCTGCAGACAGACGGTGAATTCTGCGCACTGTGCACTTCAGCATGCGCTGGCCCCGCTCTGTCATTTTACGTGGCCTATCACTTCATGGCTGAGTTGCTGTTGTTCAGAGTTGCTTCCACTAACAGTTGACCGTGGAATATTTAGTAGCAAGGAGTCTGCATGCCTAGGTGCTTGATTTTCTACACCTGTGGCCATGGGGGTGATTGGAACACCTGAATCCAATGATTTGGAGGAGTGTCCCAATACTTTTGGCAATATAGTGTATGTATGTGACCATTAACCCCTTGGTTCCCACCTTATACTTGAAGCTGACTACCAGTAGAAGGTCCAGCATGCCTAGGTTATAGATATATGTATGTGACCATACTAGAAGCTGGCTCCCTGTAGAAGGTCGAGCCTGCCTAGGTTATCGATATATGTATATGTGGCCATTATTCCAAGGTGTCCCCTTGGTTCCCACCTTAAACTAGAAGCTGGCTCCCTGTAGCAGGTAAAGACTGCCTAGGTTATAGATATATGTAAGTGACCATTATTCCAAGGTGTCCTCTTGGTTCCCACCTTATATTTGAAGCTGACTACCAGTAGAAAGTCCAGCCTGCCTAGGTTATAGATATATGTATCTGACCATTATTCCAAGGTGTCACTTCCCACCTTATACTTGAAGCAGGCTCCCTGTAGAAGGTCCAGCCTGCCTAGGTTATAGATATATGTATGTGCCCATTATTCCAAGGTGTCCCCTTGGTTCCCACCTTATACTTGAAGCTGGCTCCCTGTAGAAGGTCCAGCCTCCCTAGGTTATAGATATATGTGACCATTATTCCAAGGTGTCAATTCCCACCTTATACTTGAAGCTGGCTCCCTGTAGAAGGTCCAGCCTGCCTAGGTTATAGATATATGTATATAACCATTATTCCAAGGTGTCACTTCCCACCTTATACTTGAAGCTGACTACTAGTAGAAGGTCCAGCCTGCCTAGGTTATAGATATGTGACCATTATTCCAAGGTGTCACTTCCCACCTTATACTTGAAGCTGGCTCCATGCAGAAGGTCCAGCCTGCCCAGACTATAGATATATGTATGTGACCATTATTCCAAGGTGTCACTTACCACCTTATACTTGAAGCTGGCTCCCTGTAGAAGGTCCAGCCTGCCCGGACTATAGATATATGTATGTGACCATTATTCCAAGGTGTCACTTCCCACCTTATACTTGAAGCTGGCTCCCTGTAGAAGGTCCAGCCTGCCCAGACTATAGATATATGTATGTTACCATTATTCCAAGGTGTCCCATTGGTTCCCACCTTATACTTGAAGCTGGCTCCCTGTAGCAGGTCCCTCAGCACCGTCTTTCCGGTCTCTTTGCTCGGTTCGTCTGACACAAAATGCAGGCTGAGCACCTCAGTGCTCTCAAACTTGCCATACTTGACCAGGGAGCTGAGAGCCACCTGAAACTTTTCCTTCAGCCCCGGGCTCCTGTCCACCTTGGTGAACATCATGAGCAGGTGATAGTCCTGCACGTCGCGGCTCTCCAGGTTCTTGCTTTTGCCTTCGCCCATCTTCAGTTCGGATGAGGAAGCAGACAAGTCCAGGTCTGGGCTGAGATTCTGACCAGCGATGTTCTCCTTTAGCCTCCTGGTGGTGCTGGAGAAATTCTCCTTCCCCGAGCCTAGGTAATAGAAGGCGAACACTGCCAAGGCTGCCAGGAAAAGCAGCACCGCCTGATAGGACCTCATGGCGATGATCCTAGCCACCAGCTGTGCTATAGTCATGCCGGGCACCAGCGTCCTGCCACACTTCCTATACCCATTGCCAATCCACCGATGAGCAACAGGGGGAAGCCATGCTGAATGTACGAGGAAGATGAGACGATGGATGTTGCAAATAACCAATCGCCGACGAACCCGCCTCTTTCCAACCAGCTAGAATTGAGCGGATTGGCTGAGTTGTAAAGGAGACTTGTTGTGGTTGGCAGGCGCTCAGCTGCTCTGTCTGCTCGCACTTGTTCAAAATCCAGAAGGGATTGTATGAGGAGGAGATTCACGTGCCATAGTCCGGAGCAGTGTGTGTAATAAAATCATTGCAATGGCTTCCAGACTGTAGTCAACAGAATGATAATGCTCTCCACGGGACAGGAAATATGCAATAAACGGTGACTTGTTAACTTGCTGGGGAGTAAAATCAGATAGGATCTGGAGCAGTTACCCATAGCAACCAAACATTGTCTCTCTTCAGTTAATCTTTGAAAATGAAAGATAAAAGCTAATTGGTTGTCCAAGGCATCCATTCCATATTCTGTCTGCTACACTTTAAAAAAAAATTCCCCTCATTGTGTTCTAGCTGGAAAACATTGCACCTGTAGCCTCTAAACACACCTCTTACATTTCTAAGATAGGAAAATGTACATCTCATTTTAGCGCAAATTATTAAGTGAAGGGCACACCCATGCAAATCATAAAAAAAACCTGCAAAAATAATCAATTAAAGTCCATCTCCATCAATAAAAAAAAATCTTGCAGTGGCACAGCAAGGGTTAAAGTAGAGCTGAAGCCCAAACCCTTTTTTTTATTATTTTGGATAAAGTAAGGGAGAGTTATAACCCACAAGCTTGTTTTTTTGTTGCCCCTGTGTCCCACTGTGGAGATTTCCCTTAAAGGAGAACTATGAGGCGAGTGAAAATCACTCATCCTCATAGTTCGAGCCGACGAAGCTGTAGCTCGCGATATGCTGAGCTTTGGGTCATGGGAGGACGCTAGTGTATGTCCTCCCGTGACCCTCAACAGAACTATGGGGAAAAACACATCCCATTGTTCTCTTTTAATTTCCTATCCAATAGCCACAACAGAAAGTGAGAGGAAATCCCTTTAAAGAGAAGGAAATCCCTGGTGGTCAGCAGAACTAGTGTCCCCATTAGAAGATTTCCCCTCTATTCCTATTTGATGACCACCCAAAATGTGGGATTTTCTTTCACTTTCAGTGATAACAGTCACCAAGACAAATAGAGGGGTGAATCTTTCTAACAGGGACACTGACAGGTGTACTAGTCCCTCGCCACTCTTTGGCCTCAGTTGTACTCTAACAGTCTTTTTTGTCTAGGGGTATGGTGAAGAGGACTTTTACTTACTGAACCCTGATCCCCTGGGGGATGGCACTCACCCCTCTTCCCTACATTCAGGGCTAGTGGATTGTCCCTTGGTGTCCTTGCGTACAATGCAGGTCTATGTGCCCTGGATTAGACGTGATGACATCAGCAGGCCTCCAACCTACAGAGCACAGGGGAAAAAGAAGAGGCTGCGCGCATCGGTCTTATAGCCCGCAGGAGCGGGGATCAGGTAAGTAAAGCTGGCCTGTACACATTTTGGCTGGCTGGTTCTTCATAAAACAGCCAAAATTAATTCAGAAGGTAGCCCTGTCAAAACCTTTCTGTCCATCCCCCTGTGATCAGGACATTGAAGGAGCTGATTACAAAGTTTGCCAATTGGCTGAAAAAGATGGAATTTAGCAACGATTCATTCCGGATGATTGTGAGGTAAAATGTACTGCATATGCTAGGTGTGAAAGACAAATACACAGCTAATTGGATCTCCTATATCTCTCCCTGAATTTTAGGTATGTGAAGTCATTGTTATGCTACAAGTAAAAAGTCACTCGCACTACATTGCAATTTACAGTCAATCTCCTTTATTGGCCATCGTGATGTCACATTACTAAAGCCTTGATCCAGTCCAGAGTGCAATGGGATCTACTACATCTTGGGTCACTGTTATGCTGGCACCTGAAAAGTCCCATTTATGATTTTATGGGGGATGAGATGCCAGGGATGAAGGACGTCTTCAGAAAGCTTTCACACCCGAGTAGGCCGTTGAGTCACAGCAGAAGTAAAGAAGCTTCAGCAAATCAGTTGAATGTTACCGAGTCCAGATCATGTATGAAATTGGTGAAATGAGGAGATGGGGTGTAAAGTACTACAACATGAACATCGGAGGATCAGTAGGGGCAGAAATTAAATGTTAACTATTTCCAATGCATGTTTAAGGCATTTAAGCAGTATAAAAACAAGAGTATAGGAGGAACCACATCAACTTTATGTGAAACTGCAAAGCTAGATTGGTGAATATTGGAGTCAATATCCATCCTCTCAAATGACTATGGGATTCTTGGGGCACCCCATAGCACCTAGACTGAAATGTTTTGGGCCATGTAGTACGGTATTACAATTAAAGTGAGTGAAGCTGTTTATTTTGCCCCATGTCTTCCCTCACTTAAATCCCTAAAGTCTCAAAGTAGACTTTTACCCCATTTCACTAAAAATCAGCATTCAGCTCTGCATGCTGATATGAATTAATCTTACATTCATTAGTTAAATAAACATATTTTTCATTAGGCATTAGTGATGTAGCCCATGCCTAAGACATGCATGGTAAGGTTACATCATTGTACATTGCTGGGAACTCATCTATAAACTGCATAATCTCACGAGATCTCAGGGAAAGGGATTTTGCCCTTGAGATTATGTGCATGGTCCCTTGTCCTAGTCACATGTTCCAGAGTTCCAGAAAATAAAGAGAGATGCAATAATCTGCCCTTAGTAAGAAATGGCCACTGTGAGAAGAATGGGGAGGAAAAGAAAAACAAAGTATGCAAAGAAAAGCCTGCAGTGATCTATAAGTATCTGTTTACATAGTGACATAGTATTTGAGGTTGAATAAAGACATAAGTCCATGAAGACCAACCTATTGCTGATGTGTGCGTATGTCCATGTATCATCTCATTCTTAGCAGTACCTGTACCCCTGTATATAACGGTACCTCAGGAAATCGTCCAATAGCTTCTTGAACGATTCCACACTCTTAGCTGAAATCACTGCCGTTGGCAGTGAGTTCCAGACCCTAACCGTTCTAACTGTGAAGAACCCCCTTCGCCCCTTGTGCTGGAATTTTTTTCCCTCCAATTTTAGGTGGTGGCCTCTAGTTTTGTAGATTGCCATTACTAAACATTTTTATAGCTGCCTTTGTTGGAATTTTAAAGATATGGGTAAAGTTCCTCTAAGTTCTCTGGCACTTTGACAATAGTTACACTAAGCCAGACAAGCAGGTATTCAAAAGAACATCCAAAGCACCCAAAAAAAGTGTTGCAGCATGTTATGGTTGATTACTTTGACAGCTCAGGAAAGCTAAAGGATGCACCTCATCACGGGCAAGTAGATTGTAAAATGCCACTTTGAGCTGTATGATGAAAAGGAAAACAAAAAACAAAAACCTTTTAGAGCATTTACCCTTTTCTGGCCCACCCATTTCCCCAGCAATTCCATATAGATCATACCTGCCTGCAACCCAACTACTTCAAGATCTTCACTACCAGACCCTACAAACCCTCTCTCAGAATCTTCTCTAATTGTGCTACCTGTGTAGCGCTGATCAACAGGCTGAGGGGCTTCCCATAGGCTGATTTGGAGATTGCCAGAGAGGGGCTGTGAGGCACAATAAAGATATCACAGGACTTGGGTTACAGGCAAGTATAAATTAATATCAAATGAATGAAGAGGGTAGTGGTCCAAAAAAGAAAACAGACACTAGGGCACTTATTGTCTCTTTTAGGCAAGGAAAATAACAGTAGTTTCCTACTCCTATACACGTCAGTCCCCACAGTCTGCAGAGAACAGAACATCAAAGTACATGTCATTTTCTTCATTGGCTATAATAAAAAAAAGATACAAAATACTGGTGTCATATACAAGTTTTTTTTTATTGAGATTGCATATTCTTCTTGCAGTGTACAAATTAATTGATCAAATATTTACAATTGTTACACAATGTACATTTTCAGCTAATGCAGGTTCTCTTGTTCGAGTCAACAAAAATAAGACTACATTCAAGTTCAACTTACAAAAATGATTACAATAAAACTTGATATGTATGACATTCATTATATTTTATGGAAGGAATATTGCAATGAAAATATCGTATCAATCAAACAGCAAAGTTTATTCTGGTGGAAAATATTGCACTTGAAAACAGTCATTGCAGAAAGCACGGCGCAAAGTAGCAAAAGTACTCATTCACAATTATATACAATACAGAAAACAAATGATTTTCAAGCCTGTTTTGTGTTGTGGGTACATTCGAAGATGCAAGTGACCTTAGCACTACAGCAATCAAAGTTCAATTGCATTACACTCCCTTGGCTTTTATGTCTAGTAAAAGTGACAATGTACTTATTATTAATTTGTTTTATGGAAGGAGGAGGAAATGACATTTCACTTTTGAACTGATGCTAGCAGGTATACAATATCTTTTTGTAATGTCTTTTATGGACTGTTACAGTGAGTTTCCAGCAAGAGTTACCACCTCAGCCCCCATCATGACAGATATTAAGAGCTGAAGTTGGCATTCATTTTGAGCCGTTGGTGGCATCCAGGTCAACAAACTAATTGTAAAGCGCAAGGAGCCGGGCAGAAAAAAAGGCGCCCGAACATAGACTGCAGCCACTGTTCATGTATTCTAACAGCAGCGGGTGCTGGCTGTCAGAATACAACAGCTGGACTGAACAAACCGTGTAGGACCTCTTGTAATGAAATGTGGCCTCAGGCAGTAGCTTCTAAATGTTACTGATTCTACTCATAACCCCCAGAACAGTGAGAATAGACAGTGAGTGATCATACCTTCCTTCTGCTGCCTCCTGTTAGGTGTCCATGTTGAGTATATATAGGGACAGGTAGTAGTTATAAAAAAACTATCAACTACAGCTCATGTTGGCTACTCTCCTGCTCTACCTTCAAGAAAAAGACCAGCAAAAAGAAGCAGCAAAAGAGGGACTCGTTGGGGTCTATTTATAAACAATATGTAGAGTCATACATCTGGCGAAACTCTGTGAACATTCATTCTGTGCGAAAGGAGGCAAAGGCGAGCATTCTTTGTGAAATCAAATGTAATATTAGGAAAATACTGCCTTGTGGCCACTAGATGGAGCTGAAAGGCACAGGAAATAAATAGCTCTTTCCTATCCTCCTCAGTGCTACCTAATGGCCATAATGCATTATTTCCCTAATATTACATTTGCTTTAAAAAGAAAATATACTAAAGTAAAGTGTACATTTGTTTTTGCCTCCAGTCTCACAGAATGGATGCTCACAGGAGTTTCACAGAACGAATGGCTCTTTGGATAATTTATAAATAGACCCCTTTCTATTACTGTTGGGCAAGTGACTGATACACAGTGAACTACTGCTAGGAAAAAGGGATTGCTATACAGCTGTTTTAGCATGAACTAACTTCCTTAGTCTTTTTCTGTATACTCTACTTTCACTTTATTGACTGGGGCTGATGGAGTTATAGGCCATTATAGGCAATAACAAGCAGGCATACGTATAAACGATTTTGGTCACAATTCAAGACTGTTATGTGTTACAAAGAGTTACTTTGCAAGAGCAGACATGACTTATCAATTTTATGGCATTGGCAATGCCATCTACGCCGTTATGGGAAATCACACTGGCAGCACAATTTATTCTGAGGACAGTTTAACCAGCTTACGTACAGTTCCTTGATGTTTATCACATGGCAAATACATTTAATAGTTCTACATTCTGTGAGCAGTGCACATTTTTAGCTGACAAAAATATTCATACAAAAACATATGCTCTTTGCTTCTCACCAATACAACAAAGACTAAAATGTCAACTTCTAATACTGTCAGCATATGCATCGTGTACTATTTATCTATACAGCAATATTAACTTGAATGCTAAAATCAGATGTGCTTGTATCTAAAAGAATACCAAAACAAAAACCAGTATTATAATGTAAATAAATCAATAGCTTAAAAAGAAAATGTGTCAAACTGGATCACAATACATACAATGTAACCTCTATTTTTATAACTGGTACCCATTAAAAATACTGTATACTTTTAACTAATAAAAACAGTAAATGATCAGCAAAAATAAAAATAAAAAAACTGATCAAGACTTAGCCACACTACATAATGTGGTCGCTGCAAATTCATTTATAATCTGTATGAAAACGCAGATACTGGAAGAGTGTTATGAAAGGAAGAGATTTTCCACTTCAAAGCAATATGTGGACCCCGTATTCCAATGCCTTTCCCTGCAATATACACCTTCCCCCTAATGCTACTGGCTGCTATGGTTACATTTGAGAAGTCTAAGGACCAGATGTACTGCTACAGGACTGGCAGATCCAGGGAACAAATGCAGATCATTAAAGTACAGGTTACTTGATGAACAAGAGAGACGCCAAAGTCCTCTGCATTGATATTTCAAATTAGAAAGACGGAGCATTCTGCCCTGTAAACATAGGAGTTGTCAGTTGCCAGAGGGAGCTGTAACATAGGTAATGCTGGAAACTAGAACAAAGCTTTATTAAAATGTTGAGGAAACTAAAGACAATAGGAACTAAATGTTCTTGGGAGTCATACATTCTTCTTCTCAAAGCCATTAAAGACATAAAAATACATAGCTACTGAAATGCTTTGCCATTTGTTTCTCAACATTTAAAAACAGATCTTCTACTACATTGGATAGATCTTTCCAGCATTACTTGTATTACACCTTCTGGCGACTGATAGAGCTGCCCTGTTCACAGAGTAGAGCTCTATGCTTTCTTCTTCCTTATTTTACAAACACATTGGGAACAAGATATCAAGGTTCATCCATGTTAACATAGCATCTCCCTGGAAATACAGTGACTGAGTAGTACAAGAGGTGTAATGAGCGATTTAGAAACCTAGCAGAACATGTATAACAAGGTATACAAACAGTCAGAGTCATCTAAAACAGTTTGAAAATAAACCTGCCATGAGATGGCTGCTATGGTCTATAGTGGGTTTACAGTGACTCTACCACTTTAAAACAAAAAAGCAGGCTGCTGACAGATATGACGAACAGGCACCTACATTTGCCTCTGCACATACTTGAAGCAGCCTCCCAGCTTCCATTGCCCTGGCTCTGTACAAATGCCAGAGAGACCTGACCAGGCAAAGCTCCGACACTTACTGATAGTGTCAGAGCCTGTAATCGTATCCAGCTCCCATATACTGCTGTTGGCCCATCACTATGATGTTTATTGCCCTACTAGCCAACAGGCATGTGGTGTAGGCAAACCACATGTGGAAGTGCAAACTTAGAAACTACCAGAAAGTGCTAATGCTTTGCCTGATCAGGATGACCCAGGATTCAGGAAGAGAGGAGCATCAAATGCTACTGCAGATATGTGGGACATCTCTAGGTACCTACACCTTCTACCTGTCCCCAGTCTTTTTGGTTACTAAATTGGCATAATCTCTTTAAGCCCAATCCCAGCATACCAATGTTGGAGTAAGATATGTAGCTCAATTAAACTATTGTAAAGAAGGTATAACTGGACAACTAATTTATACTGGACCTGTAGGACAATGCCTGACATTTACATATATTTGTAATATATACAATCATTTTCCATATCTGCTTTGTAAAATCTAATTTGACAGCAATTTGTTTGCTACACAATGCAATACACAGCATTTGTTGTGCCCTTTTACACTGGCAGTTGGGCTTATGTGAAATTATATGACATTACAGTGTCAGTCATACATTGTTTAACGATGACAACATTTACTGCAGGTACACATCAATTAATAACTGCAGTAAATGAAAAATAAACTGTATACCTAATAGGAAGGCAATATATTGATTTGTTCTCATCTAAGTTCTAAGCCTAGTTTTCCATGGCATCCTACGATTACCTTCATCTAATGAAAGGTCTTATGAATTAGTGCAACACGGTCAAGGAAGGTGCAGAGTTCAGACTAAGAACTGTATGTATAACTTACAGAGTATAACACATAAAGCAGTCATTTATATTGGTCCTTTTTATATACAAAAAAAGGAAAGTATGGCAAAGAACCATTCATGGTCCCTACAGTACTGGAACCATAGTTAGGGCTAAAAATAATTTGTACATTCACTGTACACAAATTCTACAAAGTACTGTATATTTATCTCATGGCCTTAGCTCAATCACTGTTCTGCTTCTTATACATGACATTATTAAGCAGAAAAGTGATTTGCCCAGGAGGCTTAGCAGCAGTCTCTCCTTGATAAATGGAATGACGAGACCAATTAAACACTGGCTTGTAAAGCCCTAAGCCTGGGCTGTCAGGTAGTTCAATTGACCAGAATAGTTATAACTTTTTGAAGGTAAAGTTAAGGCATGTAGCATGAGGTTCATGACTTCCGGGAATCTGGATTCTGAAAGCGGTTCAGTTTTTCTGGATTGTTGGATGCCATATGGGAGAAATCTCTGAATATATCTTGGTATGTTTCATCCCCTGCAGAGAAAAACACAATTAGTTATACTGGTATACTTGCAAAATGATATACCCAGTTTATTAACTGTATAATACTGCTGGTATATGTATAAACCTGATATCTGTAACATAGACTGTAACTGCTTCTTACACCATAACGCAGGCAAAGGCAGCCAAGGACTATCTAAAAGTTTAGGAATGACAGGCCCCAGCAAGTTCAAAAGCCAATGACTAGCAGGTTATGCAGGGTCTTGTATTGTCTGAGCAATTGCAGGGCGGAAGCATGCCCCATCTACTGTAGGATAATATTCAGACCAATGGGACCAATTTATAAAAACAGGCGGAAATGAAAGTATGTGTTGGCCCATAGCAACCAATCAAATTGATCCTTTAATATCTCCACCATTTTGTAAGGTTCAGATGTAGAATTTGATTGGTTCTGTTTCTATTATGTAATACAGAAACCTTTTCATCCTCCAACATTAACAAATCAAGCCCAATGCAAATTACAAATGGGGAATACAATTAGTCAGACTGGATGACAAACGAATCATACAGACCTTTTTTTGCATGCATGAGCTCATAAAACTTACATACAAAGATCTATACCTGCTAGAAGACTCCATGCATCCAGGAAGATGAAAGGAAAGAGAAAAAGCAAAGTATCGTATATTTAAATATATAACTGATGATTTGTCTAGCTCAACAGGAAGAGAAAAAAAGAAGAAGTTCAGCAGGATGGAGCTGAAGCTACAGGAAAAACAATCTAATTCCATATAAACACTCGTCACTGTCCGCCCATTTCACCTAGAGTAGTACAAACTCTCCAAGTTATGTCAAAAGGAGTCTTAAACAATACAATTACAATGGTTTATAATCATTACTATTAATGGCTACAATATATAATAATAAAGTAAACTATCTAATAAATATATGATGGAATGACTTAAAGACACTGAACAGAAAACTTTTGTTGTTTGAAAGCTGAGACTAATTATACAGTTTGTAGAAACAACAACTGTATTAGCTGCTGCAATGATTCTTCCACTAATCAATTGAAAAATTTAAAAAGAAAATGGATATCTAAAAATTCATTTCGGAAAGGCAACAGATGAAAAAGTGGCAAACCAGGCGGAGGGCACACTCATCCACATATGGTGGTCGTGCCCACTCATCTCCCCCTTCTGGACGAAGTGCACGCTATCCTTAGGACCATCACGGGTATCTCCCTTGAGTTCTCCCCGGCACTTCTCCTCTTATACCACTTCACCACCCCCCCCACGCATATCTAAACACTCCTTGGTCATTCACTTGCTTAATGCAGCAAAAACTGTGATTCCCAGACATTGGAAGTCACCTCACCTCACCCACCATCAGTCAAGGAATGGCTCTTTCGAGTGGATATGGTGGCGAACATGGAAGAGCTCATTTCCTCTAGTAAAGACGACATGTCTCGCTACCTAAAGACCAGGACAGCATGGCATTTATTTAAGGATTCAGCCACCTACATTGCCCTCCTACAATAATTAGCCCCCTTTTTTCCTACTCCCTCCTCTCGCCTCACCACCACTCCCCTCTCTTTTCCTCCATCCCCCCCCACCTCTAACGCTACCTTACCTCACTCCCTACTCTTCATTCTTTTCCACTTTTTCTCCTCTCTGTTCTCATTCCTCCTCACAGGATATTCGGACGGAAGCCCCTTCCCTTTTCTCTTCTTCGTTCCTCTCTGACTCGACATTCCCGAGCTCCCCCCACTTTTTCTCTCCTTTCCTTCCTCCACTATCACCCTTACCATTCTCTTTATTCTCCCTCCTCTCTTCTCTTAGTCATCCATTTCACCGTCCCCGCCCTTCTTGTGTCTTCCCTTTCCCATTTTTTTTCCTTTTCTTTATATATTCCGACTCACCCCAAGCTCAGGGCCGTGTCCTATGGCCGTTTCCATTCACTGTAAAGTAGCCACCAAATGCTTCATCCATTTTACACCCACCATTGCCTACTAATACATTGAGAACCCTTTAGCATCACTACACTTCTCGCTCCTTCAGATAATTATTAACCTTTCATAGCGATACATTATGCCTTATTCTTTCCACCGTTTGGAACTTTGGCTATTCTTCACAATGGGGTGTGCCCTAACATACCACCCAACCTTCCCGGATTGTTTGTTATGTTTTTGTTCTGCTCTGTTTTACTGACCATTTGAAATTGTAATTAACCTGTAACTCTATGACTTCGCCAGAACAATAAAAACTTACTTGTGACAAAAAAAAAAAAAAAAAGTGGCAAGCAAATACTGCAATCATGTGAAGAACAAGCAAATGAGAACTTTGTTGTGCTAGACAAAGATATCCCCTTGTATAAAAAAATAATTTTCCAGTAACATTTTGGCATACTTTTTTTCCTTCTATAGTCTACTGAGGAATAGTAGTGCTAATCATGCAACTACTGCTGCAGATGTCATTGTTGGTGAAGACTCCATAGTTGTCAATTGTTCAGGGTGGATCTGTGGATATCATCAGGAGACATAAAGCAGGTTATGCTTGTTTCATCAGATCAGGGGGGGTCAGCAGTTATTATTTATTAGTCTAGTGTGAAGTCGTTATATTCACAATGGGTGGGCTTCCCATGGGTATAATTAGTACAAGGAGTAGGGACCTAGCAATGTCATCAGTAGTCTATAAGAGGGGCCCTGACTGCAGGTATCATCCATATTTTCCATGAGCCGATTTCACTGGTTGGCGAGTGGAGAAACAGATGTCATTCACATGGAGCATAGTGTTCCACAAATGACATTGGGGGGGGGGGGGGGGGGAGAGGTGCTTCA